AATTTTTGGAAGAGGAAGAGGGACCCCAGAAGAAAGTGAGAATTCGATCAAGATCAACAAAACTGGGTCAGAAATAAATGCATACACAGGAAATATAGCTACAAATAGAGAGATATAAACACACTACTCAATGGAGGCGTTAGAATCGGCTCGGGGACGACGGGCCGAAGCGGGAATATGAATGACGTTGCGAGGAAGAGGAGTACGGGGAGAAGAGGAAACGGCGACTGGCTGAGAGGAACTCAATCCTGTAGGATCACCAGTAGAGGTAAGATGATCCAGAGTTTCATCGGCAGAAGGAGGAGCGTAGTTGGCGGAAATAAGATGAAGGGATTTGTAAAGATCCAGATGTTGAGAAGGGAGAGGAAGGAGAAGGGAGGTAAAGAGATGGATGTAACCCGAAAGTTGGGTCAGACAGGCGGGTTGGTCATGGGCAGGAAGGGATCGATAACGGACCGAAGCCGCACAAAGTTCGTGCTCCAGTACAAAGGTAACCTTGGAAGTGACAGTTCTTGCTCCCACAACGATACCCTATACATCAACATCGACCAAGTTCGAAGGAAATAGACAGGTACCTCACGGAATTTGGACTCAGGATTGTTGGTCTTCACCGAACATTTCGAAGTACCCTTAGCAGAGCATTCACCACACACACCACCGACTGAATTGCATCAACATCGAACGAGTCGCAGCAAGAACTTACGAGGGCCAATACAACCAACACGAAAGTCTTCACCACCATCGAGACGACGTTGACAATCGGTACAGAGCTCACCCTCTAGCCGAACAACAGCACCATTTTTGTTGCGGAGGCGCCAACCTTGGGCCAAACGATCGAGCTAATGATTAGAATCGGTGAAACTCAAGAGAATTCGAGGCTTACAGCATTCTTAAACCACTTTACAGTGGGCTTGATGGCGTTGGTTTCGCGGAAACGGCCCAGAGCTTCGTTCTTCAACGCGAGACGAACAGAGGAGAAGGTCATGCCGGCCCAAAGGGTAGCTAACAGGTCAGAAGCGAACAGAACTCGGTGGAATTCTCACCGATTTCGGAGTCTTTTCTATCCTCGAGCAACTTAACCAGTTCCTTGTTGACGGGAACCTTGCGAGGGGCGTGAAAGATGCCACCAAGCTCGTCGGGAACCTCCACAAGTTCGTCGGAAGCCTCAGAAGGAGGACCAGTAAGTTGCTTACCGGGAGAATTTGCATTTTCGACGACGGTAGGGTGTTCGGATTCAACGGATTTGGCGGGAGATAGGTTCTCACCAGTGGCAGATGGCCCAGCACCCCCTTCGAAGTCGAAATATTGCTCGATGACATGGTCATCAAGGAACGATTGTGCTTCGCGAGAAGGACCGGATTGATACTTCTCCTTAATGGTATCGAGAGCTCGTCGAGACGCATCAACCAATGGGGGTTGAGAGGAGGCGGCTTGGGAAGTAATTCTCATTCTTTTCGTTTGACGCATGAGAAGTTCGGGGTCGACGTCGGGTAAAGTTGCCAAGGTAGAGGCTCGAGTTTGACGGGAAGGAGTAGAAGAGGACAACTAGTCTCGTCAGCCAGCGAGAAATATGAGGAGATACATCGAATTCGAAGGGAATTGCTTACAGTACGCTTAGACATGCTCACAGACAGGTCAGAGTTGGAAGGATGCTCTAAGATATGAGTAAGATATGGATGGATAATGCTAGATAAGTAAAAAGAGTGACAAACAAGAGGTAAAGAGAGAATGAGGAGGAAAGAAGAGAAAAAAGACGGGGAGGTAACTTGGTCAGTAATTTCTCGATCACATTGGAGGTCCGTGCGGGTGACGCGTTTTCATGGCAACCGTCACACTAGCGTGGGTATGATGTCAGGGCGCACCAAAGGTGTCTAAGAACAATCCATGTGCATCACCTGGTTACAGGGTTCAGGATCCTCGGCGAGGATCCTTGAGACAGGGGGGGAAACTTGTTACGGAGTAACAACGAATCGAGAGGACTCTATCGAGTTCGACGGATTAGGACAGAGAAGAGCGGGAGTTGGAGGCAGTGCTGCAGTAGGTAGGGACGGGTTTTCCCCTTTCGAGATTTCCCCACTGGGTTTGCTCAAAGCGGTTTTTCACCTGTCCGAGTATGTACGTAGACGCTTGCAGCAGGAAGGAGACGAGGACAAGGATAGCCGTAGACAGTATATAGTACAATCAGCAAAGTACCAACTTTGCTGATTCTTCAATATCATTCTTTGGCTACATCGATTGCAGAGGAGACACGATCCATTAGCACCAGAGCCCCTAGATTTCCACGAGACATCCATCGGGTTCGACCCAACCTGCGACCTAGTCGTCGTGTTTCCAGTACCGTTACACCATGGTATCATCTACCAACAACTGTTATATGACAAATTGTGTTTCCTGCAACCTGCTGAGTGTCTTTTTCTTCATTACATGCATACGAAGCTCACGAGGACGTTCGCGCCTAAGGAGGGGGCGACTGTCACGAACTACGTCGTAACATCCCTGACAACCACCATCACCAACCCTCCTTTCACCATCACCGACCTTCCTTTCACCACTACCAACCTCCACTCGAACCACTGAAACCAACTACGGCTAAGTTACGAGAACCAAGAGGGGATTTGTCACGATAACCCCGCCTAGCGGGGAACTACGGCGAAGTTAGGGGAAGGGAACCGAGGGAGAGCAGAACAGGGGAAGTTAGGCGAAGTTAGTCAAAGTGAGCGGAGTAGGATATCGGGGATATGGCGAGGTACGGCGAAGTTGAACGAAGAGGACTGAGCGTGAGGCAGTGCAGGAGTTGAGGGACATTCTACGAGAAGAGAGGAGTAGTATAGATAGTTTACAGATCGCTGAACTTCTTCAGCGATCCTTGATTGTTGTCAGTAGCGAGAGATATATTCAGTAGCTACAACCTTCGAGTTAAGGAGAGCTACCACCGAGCAGTTCAACGTACTACGGCGAAGTTAGCCGTAGTTCATCGACGATCATCTTATCATTCACCACTCGACGTATTACTACGGCGAAGTTAGCCGTAGTTCCTCGACGAGTACCCTGTCTTAGTGAGACATCGACGCCCCACTACGACGTAGTTAGCCGAGGTTTGTCGACCGTCGGTCAGTAGAGAAGAAGAAACGACGATTGTGACACCAATTAGACGTGAAAAATGACTCATGACCATGTCGTAAGTGTTGTTTGTTGGAAACAAAAGAGGGAGAGGGGGAATGTTGGGAACTGTGAGACCAAATATCAGGCATGTCCTTCAATAAAGCCTTGATGTCATTCCAAGTGTCCTGGTTTGGTTGTTGAGTGGGATCCAAGAGGTTATTGAGAGATTCAGATATCTGATATCTTGGGTCGGTTGGATCGTAATCGATGGTAGATCGAATGATCTCAGTGCTCATCGCCCCATGTAGATGCTCTAGATTGGTCAGAGATTGAATAGTTGTGTTGTGCAACAAGAGCTGAATGGCTTCATGCATAGTGCTAATTGAAACATCTTGATCAAGTTGCTTGAGCAGGACTTTTTGTCCTTCTGTTTTGACGTTCGAAGGGACAGCACAGTTAGTCATCCAGTGGTTGTAGACTTCTGACGAAGTAGGAATCTGTTGAGATGAGTAAGTCATCAAGGTGGGTGGGTCAATGCTTGGAGTGTCCATAGAATGTTGACTCTGAATTCTTAGTCATGTTTATATCTGCCGGACAACCCCAACATCTTCCTAATGGCTTGCCCTGCCCTGGAAACGATGTGACCGCATAGGCCAGAGCGAGATGACGACTCACCAATATTTCGGGTTGTGTAGACATGGTTATCAATCTGTTGAGTAGATCAGTAGTTGTGAAAGAGGCTTTGTCAGATGAATGTCCAGTTCATGATGGGACAAAGCGTCATATGGTGGTCATGTCTGACGGAAGGAAATGAACTTCAATTAAGCGATCGATCGCAAAGACGAGACGTCATCCAATCGATAGTCCTTTGTCCGGATCAAAATCGAATTCGAAAGATCGCGGTGAGTACCTCCAGTGCTTTCTACCCCTGTTCATTAACGTAACAGTTTCACGAATTAAGCATGACAAAGGCGAATTCAATGAATATGTACTCGTCACCGGCGCAGAGACGGAGATACATCATGGATTGTGCGAGTGCTTCATACCACGGTCATAATGCGAGTTGACAGAGAAGGTTGAATCATGCCTCTTGCTGAACCAGATACCAGACCGGAACCGTTTTGGCCGTGGTCGACCAAGCTAACATATTTCTTTTGGGATGCCAAGCTAAAGAGTTGATGAAACCTGTTATTGGGAATTTGGCAATAGTTGCTCCGGTGTATATTGCGACCTGGGAAGATCAGCGAAACTCTTACGCGTCTCCGCACCACATCCCCGAACGATTCCTTCCTTACGACTTCCAAGGTCAGCGGCTAGTCGGTGGATTGAGTATCACTCGAGCCGAGGGGTCATTTGACAGGATGATAGTGATTGACTGGAACAATGACGTGCGTTGGAGGTATGACGAGTAGCATGTCAGTGCAAAGAGAGGTAATCAAAGGTGACTACTCACAACAACAATGTACGAATCATCCCCTCCTACTGCTATCATCTCCCCATCTGGTGAAAAAGCTGAATGACGTATTGCCATCCTATTCATCAGCTCATACTCATCTATATTCCCTTCTTCGACGGTCGTACTATTGATCTTGTGACATGACATATGACTCACGTGCAAACATCAAAAGTCCTCACGCAAATCCAATCCTTTGTATCGAACAAACTCAACAACGCATCTTGTCCTCCAACAGCCAGAAATCTCTCATCAGTTCATACCTCATCTCTGCATATAAGACTCACTTTCCAGTAGGGTCCAGAGATAGACTTAACAACGAACTGCAATGAACCACCGAATGTCTAACTCTTTTCAATAAAGCCGATTTCCTCTTCTCCTCGTTACTCATTGGAGCAGGTACCGAAGGGGGTGTTGCTTGTCTACTGGGGGCAGCTGTCCGACTCAACATCGATATATCCTCGACTTGTTCGACAGCAGAATCATCCACTTGAGATTGATCAGGCATATCCACATCTGGAAGATCTCTTTTCATTTCCGGATCCACAGGACTGGGTACTTCTTCTGGTGTACTTTCCCGAGGCGTTTTGGGGCGATTTGATTCTTGAGGATCTTCTGGTAGAGAGAGATTATCAGGGATTTGTGTGATTGAAGATTGAAGGAGAGATGGAGTGGACGTGAGTTGAAGAGGGTACACCCAGGAGGCGATACTACCATCGTTGGAAACAGCGAGAAGGAGTTTACCAGAGTTGGAAAATCGAAGACTGTTGATCTGCCAGTCAGTTAGCAATCCAAATGCAGTTGATCAAGATGCTTATGATCCCACCATAAGGTGAAATATCATGGACAAAAATCTCGAAGAGAAGATAGAGGTGGCTCGGCCAAGGAGAAAGAGGACTGGGATCGATGGAACACTCCTGCCTGGGTGTCAAAAGGGTAAGATCTAACCCACCTCTTCATATCCTCCTGAAGAAGCAGCTCCTAAAGCTATATCGTCTCTTTTCTTCCATATTTCCTTCCCGTCGTCCATCATGCGATGGTAGAACAACACCTCGTCAAACGATGATCTAGGACAAACGACAGCGAAATGATCTCCGGATGGGTGGAAAGTTACATGTAAAACGTCTCCGGGGATTTTGAACGTTGCAATGGGTGCAGAGGGGGCTGTACGTCAGTAACTGTACGGTAACATGCGTTGTTATATCGACGCGACCATCCCATTTCACTGGATCCTCTTGTCGGTCTGAATTCCTGGCCGCGGGGCAGAGACGGCGCCGACACGAAGAGAGAGAAAGCCTCTCCAAGCTAGAGAGCCGAAGCCCGAGTGGGGAGGTTTGAGTAAGAGTCATGGGAAGGATGGGCCGATCTGTAGAGAGCAATGAAGAGCAAAAAGACATAATGAAGGAGGACTCACAAGTAACATCCCATAGAACCACCGAGGAACCCCCAGAAGCAGCTTTACACCCACTCAACAACACATTCCCTTCTACCGGTGACCAAGCCAGTGCAGCTGTCCGTCAATCTGTTTTCTTCTCCCCAAGTCTTTCCAAGAAGGTGGTCAAGAAAGTGTTGAGACTCACCAACATGCCCATTATGTGGACTCTGTTTCGAACCCGAAGGTAAACTGAACCCCGTTCCTTCAAAAACAGTTCGCACTTCGTATACTTTCAGACCTTTGTATTCCGTCCCTACAGCCACACGTTTGCCATCACAAGACCATGCTATGGATTTGATGAGTTTGGGTGCTCCTCTTATATCTACCGGTCTGCCAAATCTAGGGATCTGAAGTCAATTGCAATCTTTTCCAACCTCGGACTTCGGCGTCCATCTAAGCTCAATCGCTGGATGGGGAGAGCAGCGTCGGAGAGGGTAGGGAGATACGTACTGATATATCCCTCGAAGATGGTTGTAGGTGAGGGAAATGATCGTATTTGAAGTTTGACTCGTTGACCATTATGGTAAGTTACTCAAATGTTGACAGCTGAACGTTGAATGAATGAAAGGAAAGTTTGGATGTAAGTAAATCGAAACAACGACGTCATTTATCCTTTCTTTCTGTTTCCCCTCTTTACCTATCCTCTTTTGTCTCACCGCCGTCTCTCTTTTCTGCATCAGACATCACTTCTGAGGGCCACGATTATCATTCAAAATATTCCATCTATATCGACTGTATGAACTACCACGAAAAGTAACGATAGAAACGACTTATAACCATGCGACCTCCATCCCACCCATTACCTCTCCTCTATCAATTTCCTTTGTTTTACCCGACACGAAAAGCTCTTTTGCGACTTTCCACACGACATGTTAGACGGAATCTCAATTCAAAATCTAAAGGCGTTTTTGAAAGCATAGATACAATGGTGCACAACACCATCGAGTCCATGGTTTCGAGGTTAACTAGAAAATATGAAGGTTCGGCAGAAGGAGGATTGAGAATGTTGATGTTTGGTAAACCTGGTAGTGGGAAGGTGGGTTGTCTACACTGCCTCTCATCTCTTGACGTTCTCTCCTATACTATCTCTCCATTGTACGTTGACACGTGGAAATCTCGTCATGAGGATCTCACAGAGCTACGAAGGGAAGGACAATCGATCCGTCCGTTGCCCCTTTTTCGCAATCTTGATGCTGTCTGACACCGTCTCTTCAGACATGACGCTTAGACTATGACAACGATATCATTGCTGACTCGCAGGGTACCCTCAGCGCCAGGTTGGCTTTTTTTGCTCGAGATTCCACTTTAGCGACACGGCTGATAGTAGATTGGTGAAAGAATACGAAATCGCCTTCGTGTCTACTGGTGATGTATTGCGTAAAGAAATTCGTGATCGAACACCAGTCGGACGAGAAGCCGAAGCGGTCGTAGCTAGTGGAGGTGAGGGAAACGTTCAGACGGGAGAGTATGCAGCTGACAGGAAGGACTCGTACCGGACGAACTGATGTTGGAGATTATAAAAGCTGAGTTGGACAGGTTACGTGGTAAAGTGGGTTACCCTTGTCCTCTAGGAGCTTTTTGGCGTAATTTGAGATGCAAGCCGCAAGAATGCACCAATCAAGAGGTGATTTGGAATGCAGACAGAGAAAAAGGGACCGCATGCCGCATTGAGGATTCGGGATCAAAGACTGATCTGTAGAGTTGGATCATGGATGGTTTTCCTCGAACATTACATCAAGGAGAACTTCTCGATTCAGTGTTGAACCAAGAGGGCAGACCTTTGAATATGATCGTTCATCTCAACGTCCCCGATCAGGTGATCATGGCACGGATAGAGGGTGAGTGACGTCTCTTCTGGCAATCTATCATCCGACATTACCCCAATACTATACGATGATCTCTCACTCATGAGCTCGTCATTGCCATTACTACCAAAGGCACTGGTTCCTTCGTTATGGCTGTCCCGCGGTACGCTGATACTACCTTGAGCCAGAAATTAGATGATAGATGAGAGGGAAATTATATACGGAAAAGTGGCTGATGCCCAGCCCGTTGGGTTCATTTGCCTTCTGGTAGAGTTTACAATACCTCATACTCCGCCCCTAAAGTAGCTGGAAGAGACGATATCACTGGAGAACCTTTATCTCGTCGGCCAGATGACACACCTGTATGTCACTTGTTGAGCGTCTGACGCGACTTATGTGATAGGATACTTTTTCTAAACGCTTAAAAGCGTATTATGAGAGTACTGCTCCGTTACTCGAAGTGAGTTGTTCTTTTATACCTCAGACGCACATCTTGTATACGTTCCACATTCCATATCATCGAACTTCACTCCCATTCTTCACCGTCTCAGTAGACTTGAATGAGCCAGCAGGTCTACAATCTTATGTTTCAACTGTTAAGCCCTCCGCTCACTCATAGTACTTCTCAAAAGCGTACCCCGATTCGCTCATTTCTCTCTCGGGCAATACATCAGACGAGGTACTTATCTCCGCTCAACTCCGTCCTTCTCATTCCTTCTCCTCTTATCCTTCCTCTCCATCCAACCCCGTATCAGCCCCTTGTTTTCCTATGTCTTTCAAACATTCATCAAGTCATACCCTTCCAATCAAGACGGAGGAACCTTCGACTTCAGATGAAGGCCAACCTCCGTCAACACCTCAAACATCAGAAGACGGACTTTCCACCGAACTTTCAAGTTTGGTAGAAGAACTTGTCCTTCCTCCTGAATTCCACCCCTCTCACCGCGCTGCCAAAATAGCCGCTTTGACCAGTTGCTCTGTCCAAAGTCTCAGTCTGTCGAACCCGCCCAAAGCCGTCGTTGACGCGCTTGCAATCGATCAGCTTTGGCCACAACTCGTCGCTCTTGTCGAACCTTTCGGATTGAAGAGACGTCCCAAGATGTCCGACGTGGATGTTGAACCTGTGAGACGTGAAGCGGATGATCTGAGGGATTCAACTGAGGATGCAGTGAAGGAACAGAGAGATAGGTTGGGTTAGGTTTTGTACCAATATTTCCATTCCAACATAGGGTAGTAAGTAGCACACACATATTCGTTGCATGTGGCATTTGTTGCATCCAGTGACAGAAGGGAAGGGGGGCTATAAACGCCACTTCTCGGCGTTATGGATAGACGAAACGCCGGGGTTAGAACAGCTGATTTGTACCTGGAAGCTGTGAATTACCTAATTAGGAATGTTTCAGGGTCGAAAACTTCTTTCCGGGCGCGTCCCTAGCGTCTCGCGCCCCCGCGCCCCAGACAATATGCCCTAGCGATCCTTCCGTTCGCCCCGCGCCGAGCCCACCGCCCTCGGATCATTGACGAACAACAACTCTCTTTTCTTTCGTTTTCCAACTCTTTCTTTCTCTCTTTCAAAAGGACAGGAATCCTTCGACCGAAGATAATTCGGACTGAAAGACGTTTGTGGATAGATTGTGGATCCTTTCATCATTGATATCTAGTTCGAACCGACATTATCTGCTTCTACCAAAGGGCGTGCGTGAGACAACCGGTGACAAACGTTTATTCCTTTTTTTTGGGCGGACTCGGTAGATAAATAAATCATCATGGCAGGTGAGTTAGATCTTCCTTTTCCGTCCAATCTACTATCATGAATAGTTTCGTATATCCGCTATTCATCTTTCCCAAAGTGATGATTTGAAACATGTCTTCATTCTACATCCGACCTGTATCAGGGAAGGAGATTCAAATAATCTCATTTTCCCATCATCCTACTCATCTCGCAATTACAAACTTTCATTTCCCACCTTTCCATCTTTCATCCCAACGAGAATTGGTAGTTCAGGCAGGCCCTTGTATCCTTTTCCCCTTTGACATCGGATCATCTTCCTTTACCCTTTCCTTTCCTTTGTTCCCCCCCCCCTCACGCGTTAGTCACAAGCCAAAGATCCTATTCGTTCTAAGCTGACGCGATTTTTTCTTTTACTCTTGTATCCTATCCACCTCGTCGACAATCTTCTCAACATGCCATTCTTCGAAAATCATTCTCATTTATTTCCTGATATAACACGAGGAATTATAGACGTTTCTCCTTCAGACACTATCGCATCTGTTGATTCTTCACCTTCGGCATCACCTTCACCTTCCTCTACACCTTCACCATCTTCACCTTCAGCTCAAGAATCTTCTTCCCCTACTTCTTCTCCTAGTCAACAATCTCAATCAACGGATTCATCTTCCAATTCGGCAAGTCCTACATCTTCACCTTCTTCTTCACCTACTTCTAGCGATACTTCTTCCGATACATCTTCCACCTCTTCCAGTTCTGATACATCTTCTTCCGATACTTCTACTTCATCGTTCGCTTCTTCCACTTCATCCAATACCGATTCGACTTCGTCTACTTCCGCTACCTCCGTAGCATCGACATCCGATTCTATCACTTCTTCCGCAGTCGCATCAAGTGGTGTATCTTCGAATAGTGCTTCCCTTACAGACATTGCATTCGTAACTACCACGGATAGTAATGGTAGTACTTATACCTACACTCAAACTGTTCATGCGGCAGGTGGATTATCTTCCGGTGATACCGGTTCGACAACTAGTTTCTTCGATAATAAAGGTGCTGTAGCAGGTACTTTTGTTGTCGTAGGATTAGTTCTTACTTCCGCTTTATTAGCATTTATCGTTTTCATGTTACGTCGTCGTCGTCGTCAACGTTTAGATAGAGATGTAGCTGCTGCTGCTGCAGCTGCTTCAGCGGCAGCAAGAGGTGGTTTCGATGATGAAGAAGATCATCCAATGTCACAATATGGAGGTTATTACGCAGCTACTCCTGGAATAGATATAATGAATCAACCTCAACCTCAAATGTCTCAATACGATTATGAAGATCCTTCAGGTGGATATGATACATATGCCACGGATATGATACAACCTCCCATGTCGGGAGTAGGGGATAGAATGTCGACGGCTACTGTTCCTGGTTTAGCAGGATTTGGAGCTCAAAGCGCACAAAAGAATTTCGTTAATAATTATCAAGAATTACAAGGCGGAAGATCTGATCTTTCTCTATCCACATCGAAATCAACATTGAACTCGCAGAGACAATTGTTATCTCGTTCTGGGTCTGGTTCTGGGGTAGGGGTAGGATCTGGAACAGGAGCGGTAGCGGGAGTAGGACAAAGAGGATATTATTTCGATCCGAAGAACGCTTCTGCATTTGCCGAAGAACCTTACGAAGGATATGAAGAAGGTCAAGAGGAAATGTTACCTAGTAGACATATCAGATCGGGAAGTGAAGGGAGTGTAGCAAAAGGACCAGAGGACAGGAGTCTCAAGGTTACGAATGTCTAATGGATTCATTCATGATTCCAGACTCGACGTGAAATCAAGGGCGGGGTGGGGCAGGTCATGAGAATAACGATGATGGAATGTGAGGGGTGAGGTATCGAAGAATAGAACGAAGGGGTAATGCGGCGGTTTATCGTGTTCGGTGATATGAGGAGTGTAGAAGGGAAACCTGGATTGGGTTAGAGGATGGGTGATTGGCAATCCTGACGTGTAATTAATTTTCCCCGCCAAAACTCGGGTGCCACGCCCGGCGTTATGCGAACTCTTATGGACACCGACTGTACAAAGGGTGTATGTAAATGGAGGAATACCTTGTCAGGTCCAGTGATTTATATATTTTGCTTCCCGGATGCAAATGAATGTTGGTTTTTAGACATTATATTTTCGTCCTTTCGTATGAGATCATCTCCGTTTTCCAAATGAGTAAGTCGAGTCAAGATTCCGTTCAACTGAACAATTTCCTACGATGTCATTAGTAGTGTCTTCATTGAGACGTGGTGAGTCAGCCGATGTC